TCTAAGTTTGACTTTTGTAGTCTTTTGTAGTGTATTAGTAAACTTTGTAGTCTAATTTCGACTTTTGTAGTCTTTTATAGTGTATCAGTAAACTGTGTAGTCTAAGTCCGACTTTTTTGTAGTCTATCAGTAAACTTGGTAGTCTATATCTGATTCTTATAAGTAGTATGGGATGCACCTTCCTTTTTTGGTCATTTTTCCCACAATACAATAATTGTAGCCCTTTCTTTTAGCTTTCTGAATATACTGAAATCATGTTATTTGGTTTTGTTTTCATAGAGAAAAACACAAAAAAAAAAAAAAACACAATGCTTTTGAAATTCCTTTACCTCATATCTCCACAACGGGAGCACTTCAGAACATAATTCAAACAGATTCGGAAAGCTACAGTGTAGGGCTACAACTTTCATTTTTTGACCATTTTTGGTAATTGGTCATGTGACCACCCTCCAGGGAAGCCCATTGCATGGACCCTGACATGTGGGATACATTTGAAAAATCACAATGAAATGCCCAGGGCTACATTTGAAATTTTGCAATGAAATACCCAGGGTATCTATTGAAAAATCACAATGAAATACCCAGGGATACATTTGAAAAATCACAATGAAATGCCAAGAGTATCTATTGAAAAATCACAATGAAATACCCAGGAATACATTTGAAAAATCACAATGAAATACCCAGGGATACATTTGAAAAATCACAATGAAATGCCAAGAGTATCTATTGAAAAATCACAATGAAATACCCAGGAATACATTTGAAAAATCACAATGAAATACCCAGGAATACATTTGAAAAATCGCAATGAAATGCCCAGGGTATCTATTGAAAAATCGCAATGAAATACCAAGGGATACATTTGAAAAATCGCAATGAAATACCCAGGGTATCTATTGAAATTTTGCAATGAAATATCCAGGGATACATTTGAAAAATCACAATGAAATGCACCAGGTATCCATTGAAATTTTGCAATGAAATATCCATGGATACATTTGAAAAATCGCAATGAAATGCCCAGGGTATCTATTGAAAAATCACAATGAAATATCCAGGGCTGCATTTGAAATTTTGCAGAAAATGCGCTGGGTATCTATGGAAAATTCAGTATGAAATACCCAGGCCTACATTTGAAATGCCTTTCAAAAAATCCTAAGCATTATAGATATGGCCTCTAGGCTTAAGTCTAAGTTATAGAAATGACTCTCTAGGCTTAAGTCTAGGTTATAGATAAAAGTGGTAGCCACCAGTCTGCAGATTCTTTGGCAGCGGCTTGTAAATGTGTGTGTTGGTGTACGTGTCATTGATTTTCTGCTTGTTGACATGCCCCCACATGTTGTAGGCAATTGGAAGCCGAGGTTTTGAAATGCTGGTGCCAGTAAGCCACGCCAGCATGATGATTGCGGGATCGTTGGTGTCAGGGAGCGAATCCTTGACTTTCCCTAAGTCGGGGACCTTCTTCTGCCGATAAGCGAGCCAACACTTGATTTTCTGGAAGACAAAAAGGTGAGCGCCATGCAGATGATGAAAGAGAAGACGAAGCAAGAGTGGCCCATCATGTGACGTGAGGTTCCAGCTTGAAATCGGACTTACCTGTTTCTTCTTTTCGATAGCTTCCTTCGTCTGGTTGAACTTCAGCAGCTGGTTGGTGTACTCTTCCTCTGTCATCGTCTCCTTTTTGGGTGGCTCTAGTTCCTCATCTGGCCACTAGTATCTACCACTTTTTATGATAAAATACAGTCAAGTGCCTGCACAACTTTTTGGTAAATGGCACTGTGGTCTTATGAAATGAGAAACATGGGGGAAATCTAATGAAACATGTTGCATTTTGGGCCCAGACCATTTCATATATATCTCATTGTTTGCCTAGCAATATTTCTTTGCCATTTCTTTGCCATTTCATTGGCTGACTGGCTATATTTCTTTTCCATTTCATTGGTTGCCTGGCCATATTTTTTTTCTATTTCATTGTTTCCCTAGCAATATTTCTTCGCAATTTCTTTCCCATTTCATTGGCTGCCTAGCCATATTTCTTTCCCATTTCATTCATATTTCTTTTCCATTTCATTGTTTCCCTAGCAATATTCCTTTGCCATTTCATTCCTATTTCATTGGTGGCCTAGCCATATTTATTTCCCATTTCATTCATATTTCATTGTTTCCCTAGCAATATTTCTTCGCCATTTCTTTCCCATTTCATTGGCTGCCTAGCCATATTTCTTTCCCATTTCTTTTCCATTTCATTGTTTCCCTAGCAATATTTCTTCACCATTTCTTTCCCATTTCATTGGCTGCCTAGCCATATTTCTTCCTCATTTCATTGGCTGCCTGGCTATATTTCTTTCCTATCTTGTCAGGGTCCATCCAATGGGTCATCAGGAGGGTGGTCACATGACCAATTTCCTAAAATAGTCAAAATAAAAAAATTAATAGCCCTGAATTGTAGCTTTCAGAATCTGTTTGAATTATGTTCTAAAGTGCTCTCATTGTGGAGATATGAGGCAAATGAATTTTCACAGTGCCGGCTTTTTTCAACCTTTTTGTCTTTTTCTCCAGGAAAACAACACCAAACAATATAATTTTAACATATTTAGAAAGCTAAGAAAAGGGGCTACAATTATCATATCATAGAAAATTTGACTCAAAAAGGAAGGTGCATAGCCTAAAAGGGACATGCACACTAGTAGACTACAAAAGGCAGACATAGACTAGAAATTTTACCAATAGATTACAAAAGTCAGACATAGAATACAAAAATGAGTAATGCACTACAAAAGACTACAAACAGCTGGACATAGACTACAAAGTTTACTAATGGGCTATGACAGACTTCAAGAGTTGGACATACACTACAAAATCCGCTTTTCTCATTACAAAAGTTGTAGTGTCTGCTTTTTTCATTACAGCAGTTTGTAGTGTCCGCTTTTTCTATTACAACAGTTTGTAGTGTCCACTTTTTTTATTACAACAGTTTGTAATGTCCGCTTTTTTCATTACAACAGTTTGTAGTGTCCGCTTTTTTCATTACAACAGTTTGTAGTGTCCGCTTTTTTTATTACAACAGTTTGTAGTGTCCGCTTTTTTCATTACAACAGTTTCTAGTGTCCGCTTTTTTCATTACAACAGTTTCTAGTGTCCAATTTTTTAATTGCAACAGTTTGTAGTGTCTGCTTTTTTTAGACTACAACAGTTTCTAGTGTCCATTTTTTTAGACTATAACAGTTTGTAGTCTTCGCTTTTTCAGACTACAACAGTGGGTAGAATCCACTTTTTTGGACTACAACAGTTTACAATATCCACTCTTTAAGACTACTAAGTTTGTAGTCTGCTTTTCTGACATTTAGTTTGTAGTAGGTATGGGTTTATGACATGTGAGATGAAGTGACTCTGCCAGTCATGCCCAACTTGTTGTCTTTCACATCAGTGGAGCCTGTCTCTCTTTTCAGCTGACCAGCCACTATCCCATCTCTCTGGACTCAGGCAAACATCTACTGATATCAGTAGCTACTGTCCTATAATGAGTGTCTCTCATTGGTCTTTTCTGTCAAGTCAAATTATGATAAGGTTTCACTGTTCAACCATTCATCCTAGCCAATCTTCACTGAAAGCCATTCAAGAGTACTAGGAGTGAATGATGAAAGGTTGTCTATTCCTATTATGTTCTTAGTCTACTCAGCTGAATACAAGCTGGAATCTGGTGAATCTTTTCCAGGTTGACCATGAGTAGAGCTGTTGTTCTTGAAAACACAGTGCAGGCTCCACTGGTATGAAAGCCAACAGTTGGGCCTGACTGGCAAAAGTCAACTCATCTCACATGTCATAAACCCATACCTACAAACTGAATTAGAAAAGCAGACTATAAACTTAGTAGTCTTAAAAAGTGGATATTGTAAACTGTTGTAGTCTAAAAAAGCAGACAGTAGAAACAATACTTTACCATCCCCCACATAATCCACATGGACTCCACTGGATTCCACTGGCTTCCACTGGACTGGACTGGACTGGACTGCCAATCACAAAACTGGACTCCACTGGACTCTCCCAACACAAAA